ACACATTTGATAAAATAAATAATTTATTAATTACTAACTCTAATTATATTAACAAAATTTTTATGATAAGCATTGAAGTAAGTATATTTACTTTTTATTTAAAAAAATAAAATATAAAAAAGATAGTAGTACTTTTTGAACTAAAATTTATATCGTTTAACACTAATAAATAAATCTTAACATTACTTTTATTTATAATATTTGAAACTATTGCTTGAGATAATTGTGGTTTTGAATTAGGTAATGGTAGTAGATTTAAGTTTTAACTGGACTCTCCAACTCCTTTCATTTCACCGCACAGACTCGTGGTCTATGCGAACATACTGCTTCCGCTCACGCTCTGTTAATTTATCTAATTACGATAGCAGGATAATTTACTCTATATGACGACAGGAAATTCGAGTCAAATGCTGTCGGGAAGTACAAAATTAGTCGTAATACTTTAGAAGCGTCAAAATTTTGGATAATGCAAAACCGCCGCTGTCGTTTAAACATTGTTAATTTTACCGTTTGCTCATATTAAATAATTATACAATCAATTGTATTTTTATTTTGTTGACATTATTTTTAGGCTTCGTATATTATAACAACTTTTAATATAAAATATATATCCGTTACAGTAGTAGTTTGGTTACACATAATCGCATTTTTTTATACATCTATTTTATGCATATTTTTTTCACATAATATATCACGTTCTCAACACGTAACAGTATAACAAATTGCAATTCGTTTTTGACAAATATCGAAGATAGTGTGTGAGCTGCGCGCATATTATAAAGTGTCTCCGTAAACAACAGCACATCGACGGAAATCTTCCCCCTGTCGCGAGTTAGCGCTTTTTGCAAACGCAACGCAGCGCAAAGTGTACAATAATCCCTTGATGCTAGTAGAGAATAAGGGAGGGTTCACGAAAGAGGGTTTGTACTTTTCTTAGACAGAGAAAATGAACGAAGAAGTCGGAGAATTTTTAGCGAAACAAAGATGCGGGCGTGAGACATCTTCCCGGAGCTGGCAGAAACTGATTCTCGTTTGCACGTTGCCTCGTTGTGTTATTGTCTGCCGTACTAGAACTGCTTTTTGTGTGACCATTTATGTATATGATTACTCTGCACTTGAATGCTACTACAAATTTCTGTCGTTTTTCATACGTGAGTTAGAAGATGTAAAAAGTTTCAGAATTATGTTTACGACTTTTATCCATTGCTTAATAGATATTAATAATATGCGATACGAGATGAATTTAATAATCAAATCACACATGTGTTTCTTTGTCTGTGTAAAAAAGACTCCTTATAATCTCGAAAAATATTAAAATAAATCAATTAAAATCAGAGATATATGCGATGTAAAACTACGTGTATGAGCACAGAATAAAACAAACAAACATCAGAAAAGTAAAAGTTATAATTGATAAAAAAAAACAAAAATAACATATGATCAAAGAAAAAAACCTCATTTTTTTAAACTAGCTCAATTTTTATCACCGAATCAACTACGGGACGCGCTGGAGACTTTCGAAAAAAATACTTTTCGATGTTATCGGGAACTTCGTCGGGAATCAGAAGTTTTCACCCTTTCCATTCACTACCACCACCTCCCGTCAGCAGCCACCACCAAACCCACCGCCGCCTTCGTAGGGTTGAATTGGCGGTGTTGGAAGTCACGGCAAGCTTTGCTAAGAGAATCGACCTTAAGCAGGACGGCTTTAAGGGCGTATATCCGTGCACGTTCCTCGTCGGAGTGAGTTATAAATCGATTTGTGTTCTGGCCAATGAGGATTGGAAGTGGCGCGTTCTGATTGGCCGGACTTCAGACCACTCCCACAGTGTTAATAAAGGCACAGAACGAAAGCCGGTTTCACAACGCCACAATCGTTTGCTCCGCAAGACAACGTGTAGGTCAGCTACTATATATTAGTCAGATCTAGTCTCTTCTATGTGAGTAACACAATTAATAATTCTAGTTATATACTAGAAAAAGTTAAAGATAGATTTTTAATGTGTAGCTATTTTAAATATAAATTTAAAATTATATTTTTAACGTCTTGTAGTTAAAAAAACATTTATATGTGTGTATATAAAATTTATATGAGATGTAGGTTACAATTTTACTTTTTAGTAATATTTAATTTTATTTTTGCATAACTTAAAGTGCAAAATAAAATTTAGGGCAAGAAATTAGTTGATATTATAAAAAGTGCTTTCAAAATGTAACACGTTTAATTATTTGATATTCGTAATTGTAATATTACTGATGAATTATTCAACAATAGGAGAGAACGAGAGACCACACATTTATAATTACCTGGAAATACCAATAGCTTATGATATAATGGTAGTGCAATGAATTCAATATGATCCACATCATTTTCAACTCGCGTTATCAATTAAATAAACAATTTCATTGCATTACATATGAATCCATAATCTAATAAATCTCATCTTCGGATTTGCGTTGTAACAACAGATTATTAAATTATTTGTTTAGTCATTACGGGTGTCAAATAAAATGTTTTATTTCTTCTGTTTTTTCTTTCTGTAAAAATGTATATTGTTATATATTTAAATATATAAAAGGGAGAGATAGAGTACATAAGTATCAAGTATTTATGTCATTATTACAAAACTTCTATCTGAGTTATAAATTAAAAAATAAAAATTAATTTTTAACTTTAATAAAAAATACTAATAAACAAATATAATCAAAAATAGTTGTGTGTAGAATCATAAATAATATACTAAAATTAAAATTGAAAACAAAATCAAAAGTTACAGGTAAGTTCTCACACTTCATCATCTCATGATAGAGGTCCTAGATTTATTCACGGCTGCCGAGCTCTTGTGAAGCATCCACGACCGTCGCCAGGCGCGAAAAGTCCCTCTTTTCTCCATAGTGAACCGCTCCGCCGTAGGCGTAGCCACGTCGAGGCGTCGACATTGCTAGACCCCACCTTCTCGCTGGTAACTAGGGCTATGTCTACTCGGCTGGCCGTCTCAAAAAGCCGACCAATCCGCGATACGAGACGGCCACTGCTGACACGTAAAGTAGCGGAGGCGCCTTTGTCGCTTGGGTCCGCGAGGAGTCGCAGGACGGAGGGTAAAAGAGGGGGTTTAGAATCGGTGGGTACGCGAAAGAGAGAGGGAGACCAGACGCGACGGCGAGTTGTGCGCACGGATGGGGCAAACACCACCCTCCGCGCGCTAAGGGTACATGTGTGGGTGCGTGTAGCATTCGTACAGCCGCCCCCGGGGGTTTCCCTTCTTCGTTACCCTCGCGCACAGTCAAGCAACCCCGCGCTGCTCGACGGCTCAGTTGCTCAACGCCGCGACGACGACACGGTTGCATTACGACGACGGCGGACACACAACCTGCTCTTATCGGAAAGATTCTTCGGAGCGACCGGTCTACCGTCTCTATCGTTACGCTTCTTCAGTTTACCAAGTCGCGGCCGGGTGTTAAACGTACGAAGATTTGTTGTGCGCGCTCTGATATAACTGACCAAATCCAATAATCTGAATGAACACACCACGGAAACGAACTAGAAATTGTTCTGTTACACGAAAGAGTCAAACTTATCTTGATGAAATACGTGATATCATTTGCCGACGGATTATTACGTGGAAACGTATCCGTGAAAACGTCCAAGATGAGCGCGACGAAAATCTACGCGGTGTATACCATGACTTTCTGCCAAAGACACCGGTAAATCCCGAATCTTTGAAACAACGTCAACTGGTTTCTCATCGTTTTCCTCCAGTGTATCGATATCTTCGTCCCGTTTACATGTGAAAAGCCGAATCTTGCCAACTGTCTGAAATCGAATCAATCTCTTCTCCAAAAAAAAAAAAGAATGAAAGAAGACAACTCCGCAAAGCAAGGAGCAATCTGTTCAAGCTCGCACGAGTGAAACTTGATTATACGTGCGACGCTTCTTGCACGTACTGTTCAGTGTTCATGTCAAGAAGAAGCAAATCTGTCTAGTTACGTTAGAAAAAATAATCCGAAGCAGTGTTGTGATAAGCGCAGTAGAACAATTTGTACCTGATCACAACGAAACACTTATTTCAACGAAGTGGACAGGAGCGAGAATAAGAAAAAAACCCTAGTGCCGTGAGATGAGCGTAAAATAAGTGGTGGAACTACGCGCTCCGTTCAATGGAAGCATTCATTCTTGCCGACGGTCAGCGGAGATTGTCAAGCGGAATCGTTTGCTAGCAATATTCTTCGTTTCTCTCGCACAACGAAGGCAAATCGAAACGGAGCATCGCTCACCGTAAGCACATTGACACATATGTTTGAGGTATTTATTAAGAAACTTTAGCTCTCACACGGATATGTACAATAATACTTAAAGTTTATCAGATTCTCACATCGCAGAGCTTTTTTTCATGTCAAACGCACAGCAATACGACTGAAAATCAAATCCCAAACGGCCTTCAAACACACAGTTTTTCTAATTTTTGAATCAGCACTCGTGCAGCAACGACCGTCGGATGCGAACAGCAAGCGTTAATAACACGGCCTATCGTATTCGAGAAGACTGTTTCGGTAGTTTACGCGATTTTTGCGCAAGATCTCATTGAAAATATAGTCCTCTTGTAAGTCGGACCAAACATTTCGCAACATATGTCCACGAGAGAGATTTGCGTTTAAACTGCGGACGCGCAACTGGAACACCCCCAAAAAAACATACAACGACTATCTTCAATTCAGTTCCTAAACGCCAAGGAAAGAGGAATTTTTCGTGACAAGCCAACACAACGATCACTTCTTTGATCGGACCTAATCATCTCCCGGTCAATCAAACACACGGTCCAGATTAGTCCAGAGATTCTCGAATGTGCTCTCAGACGTCGGCCGGCGGCTTCGTACGGACCAATTATCGTCCGCGAAGCACCGAACTCGTAAATCGAGAATTGACAGTCAATTTGTTCTTCTGAACAACTGTGCAAAGATGTTGTTTTGAACACTCGCAATCTCGATTAAGAGTCACCAAGATGCCTCAGCAGCAGCAGAGATCGGCCTTCGCGATCCAGGAACTGCTGGGTCTGGATGGCACCGGGAACAGGAACGGGACTGATCGCGGGTCTCCGCAGGGCTCGCCGCCCGCCGGAGTCTCGGCCGTTTCTTACGCACCGGCCGCGCCGCACCACTCGAAGTTATGGGACTATATGCCCAGCCTAAATCATCTAGGCAATCTGGGAAATCTGGGAAATCTGGGGAATCTGGGCAATCTCACGGCTTCGAGGATGGCCTATTTGAATGCGCAGGCGGCTGTGGCGGCCGCTTTTCTACCACCGCCCCACCCCCACCCAGCCCACCATGTACCGCACCATCAGGTACATCAATCGGGCCAACTTCCGGCTTCGCCGCCCGGCGTCAACTTGCATCCTGCGGCGCATGCGCAGCACGTACTTCCTGGCACGGCTGTCACCACGAATCATCATCAACATAGCCCGACTCAACACACGCCGCCTCATGGTAAGTTGTTGATACGAAGGTTTTGTTTAGTAATTATTTCTTCTTTGAAATATTACTTTTATTTAGCAATTAATTAAACGCACGTCAAATAAACAGAAATAAAACTGCTTGTTATTCTTTGAAGACACAAACTTATTTAAAAAAAAAAGAATATCTATTTATTACATTTATATATGTTTCTCTTTTCCATTATGATACATTAAGTCTATAAATACTCGTTGCACGATATATATATTTATCAATCACATCGTAAATAACGCGCTAATTGTGTACAAGGTTAAACGTGTGAACCCTCTGTTTCACGACCACCGAAGTAAATTAATAGGCGTATCGTCGCCCTGGCGTGAAACGAACACTTAACTGCCACTTATAGCTATCACTTAACAGAGAGCCACTCAAGATCAGGTTACCGAAAATCGACACACCTTTGTCGTGTATCCACACGCGCCATCGGTATTGTATGTGCCAAGAATCTGGGGGAATTTTTGGGAAAACAGTATTCAGTCGGCAGCTGCGTGTGGTTATCTTACATTTTCGATGCACCCAAACGCCAGCCGAGTGTACTCGAGCGTTCATCACTCAAAGTAGAAAACTTTTATTTGTCGGATACATTGATTTGCCGCTAAATTAAGCTCGTACTAGAGTCGCGTTTGCTAGACTAAAGAATTAAACTGTTTGCTATTTTTTGAAAAAGTTCTCTTTATGATCGAATAAGCTCCATCCGCCCTTCGAAAACTTTCTTCTTAAATATTATACACTATTATTTATATTATTATATTATTATTACTTAAATATTATATATATATATATATATATATATACACTATTATTATTTATTAATTTGTATAATTCCTTTCTAGAATAATTTATTAATTATTAATTAGTATGTTATTACTTTATGTACGTACACATAAATTTTATACACGTCTTAATTCTTAACACTGTTTAAAAGACACATTTTACAACAGCTAAGGAAATCGCAAAAAGAATTAATTAGTTTCGCGAGAAAAGTATTAATAATATTTGGAAATATACGCGCATTGTTTTACATACACTTTTTAATCTATATAAGATACAAGAGAGAGAGAGAGAGAGAGAGAGAGAGAGAGAGAGAGAGAGAGAGAGAAGAATACTAAAAACAATAAATAATTCATCTGAATCAAGACAACTAATCGAAGAGAAGCGCATATTTCATGGATGTTCAACAGAAACCAGAACTCAACACGGAGAAAAAGCAAAGAGAATAAAGAGAAATGGGTTCACTGTGGGAATTGATTATTTTCGTCAGAACTAAATCCCCAACGTTATGAATAATTAGTAGTATAATGAGTTGAGTGTTAGGCAGACCTGCAATGTCTCACCAAAACACAAAGAGCATCGACAAAACTAGCCGTCAGCTGTTCTCAACTCGCGTTGGCGATATTTAAACATATCATTGAGCATATATGAATACAATGATTTTAATTTTATTATAAATATAAGACATTTTTTTCTACGATACACATTAAATAGCCAAGTAAGTGTGTGTTTTAAGTTTGATTGCAGAACACACACACACACACACTTTCTCTCTTTGAGTAGACATCTTTAAAACATCTTGAACTATATTAATTGCAAAACATCTTAATACGCGCGCGTGCGGTTCTTTAATTAATTTAATTTTCTATCGCACCATAAAAAAACCGGCGTGGGTTGATTTTTCCAAATACTTTAACATGATATTATCACTGTTTAAGCGTTGAAGATTTCGCAACGAAGGACGAATTTTGAGAACAATTTTCGGGTTTCGAGTTCCAGACGGAGCACAAAGGATCTGCCGTTCCATTCAAACGTCACTCTGGCACCTCGTTTCAGAGCATTTATTTGGCGTGCCCTATTCGCTCGGTTTTGTCTTAAATCTCGCGCAGTTTTAAAGACGCGCACGCGAAAGAGAGAGAGAGAGAGCTGAACTCGTATTACCGTTAGAGCACCAATCGTTTAATTCTATAAATACCAATTCTCGATCGAATTTCGATTTAAATACAATTTTGAAGTTTGATCGGCGCGAGATCTGGTAATTTAGCTTTTTTTTTATTCAGTTTTGCTGTACAGTAAAATGTAATATAATATTGCGTAAACACAGTTGGAGAAAAAAACGCAGAAAAAATTTTTGTCATAGAGAAGCAAGACTGATGGCAATATTCATAACAACTAAGAAAGGCGGAGACAACCGATGGCATATACGTGCGATGACAAAAGAGGAAGAAAACGCGGGGAAGAGAAGTGCGTGTAAGCGGGCTTCTCAGGCGTTGATAGGCAATTTAGTTGATTGCTGACTTCAAACGGTCCGAAAAAGCAGTTCTCGAGATGTGGCACCCGTGTTAGAAAGCCAAAGGCGCGAATCAAAACCATTAAGCGAGCGGGAATCTCGGCATTTTTAGAACAATACAACTTTCTTCTTTCTCAATGACTAAAATGTAACGAGTTTCATGCGACGACATTGTTCGTTCTTTTTGTTTCAAAAAAATACTTAAAGCGCACGAGTTTGTTACTCTCGGCTGTGGCTGTGTTCACGGAAATCAATCAAAAATGTCACCAAGAAACTCAAACGTCTGCGTATATGAAATATATACGCGTTTTTATCTCACGCACACATAGCCATAGGTTTGCGACATATTCGTCATCGGTTTTCGCACAGTTACGCCTCTGGCGAAATGATTTTTCCCCGGAAAGTCGCGACGGCGTCGAAGTGGAAAAAAGGAGCGAAGTAGCGAGCAAAATGCTTGGCAAAGGGGGTGCGGTCGCGGCGGCAGGTCGATACTGATTAGTACTTCAAAGCGCGTTCATTTCTTTCATGTGCGACGCACCCACGGCAAAAGCGCGCGCGATAGCGTTCGATTAAGAAGTTCTCGAACACAAATTAGCAGGTTACAAATTCTTTACCGTGCTTTGTTTGCGAGTAAAGTGCCGCGCACCCCCGGCGCGTGAGAGACTTCGCGGCAGCAACGCGAGGACTACGTTTGCATACATTTGCACGCGCGAACGCGCGAATTTTTTGCGTGACCACGCGTGAGTAAGTGGTTCGCGATGTAAATTAGGGTACTCGCGACAAGATCGACTTCGCGAAATGGGTTTCTCGCACTTGCGGAAAAGTAGCACTTGACCGACGTCAAAAAACACGTTATCAATTTTCAAAAATGCTCGTGACTTGCTTCGCGCTTGGTGTGTAAAAAGTAATTTTGAGAAGCAGATGTATAATAATAACAATAATAATAATAATAATAATAATAATAATAATAATAATACTTATCTTTTTCTTTCTAAAAGTAAATAATAATAATAATTCTTATATCCTTCTCTTTCTAAAAGTAAAACTCTTTATAAGAAAGATATGTTCACACACACACTTCGTATTTAAAAAAGTTTACCACACAATATTTTATTTGTATAAAAGAGAGATATAACTAGATATATAATTGGGGAGATATGACTGGAACTTTTCAAGAAAAATTTTATTCTAACATAAGAATTTTTGAAATAAATAAAAAAGATAACACTTCTTAAAGAATTCTTCAAAGTAAGTAACTCTGAAATGAAGAATATAAAAAAAAAATTTAGTACACAGAGGCGAGAAGAATATAAAGCTGCAGACTGGCGTCTGAAAAAAAAAAAAAAAAGAAACAAATGGCATTCTTGCTGTAACAGGTACCTTGCATTTTTTTTTATATAATTCAAATATATTCCGAGGAGTTTATTGGTTTATTTCGCAGGAAAATGCAACGCAGTCGCGGCGCCTAGTACGGCTTATGCAATTGCGAATGCAAATTAAACGAAATTAAACAGTTAATTAAAGTACCGGCGCCCTCGGAGAAGTTAATTGAGATTCTTGGGAGATTTGTCGCGCGGAATGTCTTAATTTAGTCCCTTAAGCGCCCTAACTCGCCTTAACAACTTAGAATAATTGGATAACACTGCCGAGGCGCACTCACCGCTAGAAGGAGGAAAATTTAGTCTTCTAGCGCGGACATCTCTTCCCTTTTTTTTTTTTTTTTTTTTTTTTAACGCGTCGCAATTCACGTTATATATTCAGAGTAATTCTGTTTGGATTTTCCATCGTAAGAAAAGTTCTTCTCTCTTTCTTCATGCGTCACTCAAGATCAGAATACGTGATTTTACATCGACTGCGAATAAAGTCGTTTTATTTTTTTCTGCAATTGTTTTAGTAAATTTCGGTTAAAAAACGTTTGATAAAAAGCATTTGTTTTTCTTTTATAACAGAAATAATAACTAGGCGTAACTACTTAACAAATAAAATATGTAAAGTGAATCTTTTCTTTACTGGATATAATATTATCACGCATTAGTCTTAAATGAATTAATTTGACCGGATATAAAACGACTGTAATAATATAGCTATTTTTAAATATTATTTTATTATATAAGTATAATTATAATATTTTTGTTCTTTCTCTTTATTCAATTCTTTACCGTACAAATATTTAATCTTTTAATATTTTATGGAATAAAATTAATAAAATTTGCAATATGTACAAAAACTCATGTATCGCGAATTTATTTTAACAATAATGTAATTTACGTTGTTTTATTTTTATACTTCTCATATACCTAAAACAAAAAACTTTCGTATTTTTCAATTTTAATGAATACATTTTCGTTTACAACATATGTTTTCTACCATAATTATATTATTTTGATAATAATTAAAATATAATAATTAAAATAATGTGCGTATATGTTTCTCTTTTTTTTTTAAACCGAAATCAATATAATAAAAATAGGAGATTGGAAATTGGTTTTCCGTTGCAAGAACTTTGAGACAAATAATCGATATCTTTTGTCTCAACATTGATATTAGTTGAAACAGATTTAATATTGATCCAAATTAATCAAACTCATAAATCAAATATAGTAGTAGGTCTCTTTCAAAAATATAGTAGCAGATCTCGTTCAAAAATATAGTAACAGGTCTCTTTTTGGCATATCTTTATGACGCAAAACAATCTGATTCATATTTTCCCACCGACTGATTGCCACGAGTTTTCCCTGTACGGGCAGAGAAATGATTTTCTCTCATTATATCCTCGTAGCAATGTCAATCATTTGACCCTCGTCGCCGCAGTAGCTCACCTAATCGCCTAATCGTATAATCCGCTCCAACAAATCAATTCGGGTCTACGACCAAAAGCGTCACTTCACGCTCTATAGCTTCTGCCGGGCAACTACATGGATTATCGAAAGATACGGAAAATTTTGTATGAATTTTGTCCAAATTATTCGACATGTACGTTCTGATTTAAAACGACATCAAAAATCGAAAAATTTGTTTGATAACGATTTTACGCATTAGTTTACTTCCGTATATAAATATTTTAATTTTGAGTCACTCTCTTTTTTTTTCTCTCTTTTGTAAACAACTTTTTTGCATTAAATCCGACATCTATTAATTTGTTATAACAATGCCAATGTTGAATAATAATTTTATAACGAGTACAATAAAATTACTTGAATATTAACACTCAAACAAATATCGATTTATTACTCTTGGCAAAGTCACGGCGCATCAACTGAGTAGGTAATCGTGACTCGTCACACCGTAAACTTGTCGGCATTGTTTCAGGATAACGTGTACATACGACCGACTATCAATCGGCGTTTTCGCGCGGGGAGAGCACACATCTCGTAAATTTTCACCCTTTGACACGCGCCCGATACGAGCTCGGAGACCAGGCGGGAACCGGGGGGGGGGAGGGGGGAGATAGCTATGGCGGTGGTGCGCGTCGGCGCGACTCCAGCCACCCTGTTGGCGCAGAAGCTTAACCCCTCGGGACACCCCCCTGCGGGACGTTAATGAAATAACACGGGAATTAGTCTCGGACATTACCGACAAACTATGTCCATTACCGCGCCCCGCGAAAGCATAGCGCTCTACGAAGGCTGAACTTTGAGGACCACTCCAGCAAGACAAATCGGGTAAAGGTTGAAAAAAAATCAGCGTAAATTGCTGTTGGGGAATTGTCTAAGAAAGTGCCCTTTAACGCGATTCATTGCAACGCGAATCTGAAACGTTCGACGGTATTTTTGCGAATATGTAACACACAGTAGCGCACACTCGACTCCGCTAATTTATATAGACTTCAAATCCGCGAATTTTCACGAACGTCGCGTACATACACACGCGCATCGTCGCTAAGCTTTTAAGCGAGTGAGCGTAAGTCGCTCAAATTGGTACGGATTTCCAGCCCAACACCTCGATTGTCCTCGCTAAAGAGTGCTTCACGGGCATACGTGAATTCACGCCTCGAACACAGGCACGTCGTTGTTGTCCCTCCCCTTTCTTCATCTCCTCTTACCACACACGCTTCCTTCCACTCCGCGTTCCTTTTTCCTGATCTCTTTCTCCTACTCGCTCTTATCGCTCCGTCGTGTGATTGTCTCTCTCGGCTGTCTGTGAGATCCCTCTGCTTCTCTGATCCCTACCTTGTTCACGCATACCCTTTCTCTCACCCGTTCATTCCTTCGTTACTCACGTATTTTCTTTTTCCTCTTTCTCTCTCTCTCTCTCTCTCTTTCTGTGCATCGTCAATTTTTTTATTGCTTATTCTTGCTTTATATTTTATATTTTCTTCTCTTTTTTTGCTCACAATAATATTCTCATGTATTTTTTTCCAAATCTGACACTACAAATAACCACATAATTGCTAATGATAATCCTAAGATTTAAAAAGACGCGACTCTTTCGAGGAAAATTGCACTTCGGGAAGACACATTTGAGAAGAAGCGTGCTGAATGAACTTGATGTGTTCCACAGCCGTCAGCGTGCCGCGTGCACACCTTCGAGGGTAAAAGAGACCCGTAGAGGACGTCTTTCAAGGAGTAACCGCAAATCCTAGTATAATACTAATAGGGCTATAATAGGGTCAATAGGGCTTAGCCGCGCGACGACAATAAGATCTTGTCAAAATACGCTGGGTAACACGAGCCTAGGAAGCGGATTTTTCTCAATGGGGGTCTGTCCGTTCCCCGCTCTCTCCGCGTCAACTGGTACGAGGCGATGCGCATTATGAGGTTTTCAAAAAATCTGAAACCTTCCACCCGGGTGCGCGCGATTGGGGTTTAAGTTTCACCATATTCGACGATCGCCGATCCCCGTGAAAAGAACGCGAATAGGAGAAAAAACTCAAAGAATGCCGTATCAGCCTAACAAGCGCTATATTCGGATTTCAAGTGAACAGTTATATTAGTAAACGCGCGTACGTGCGCGATTTGCGCTTAATATGAACTCAATTTCCGGAAAGTTTTCGTTTGGGATAGTTTTCATTCAGTTTTTCACTCCTCGATGTGTTTTTATTCAACGTATTTATCTATAATTAATGATAATGATGGTAATTAATGATGTTGCGGTTGCTGTGTTGGTTCTTTAATTCAATTTTTCAATGTTGCAATTTTTATGGAGTTCAATTGTTTTAATGGCGTTTTTGCTCAATGCAAATTTATTTTAAAGAACGTACTGCTTTTCGCGGAAAACGGTGAGTTTAGGCTTGTTAAAGCTCCCGTCGGTGCCCCTTCCCCCGTACTTTTCTGGGTTAATTTATCAAACAAACGTGGGTGCAAACTCGGGTCAAGCTTGGCATCCCCATTTTAAGACGCTGGCTCGTTAAAGTCATTTGAAGGGCGCAGTTCCGCAATCACCATCGCCAGCTTTCCCTTCGTGAAAGTCTATCTTGTAGCCGCCAACAAGCCCCAACTTTCTTAGAAGGCAGGCAAATCTTTTTCAACCCCTGTTTTTCGCCACCCCAGTATCTACAGCTCGCGGTGGAATGACTTTATTAGAAAATGGCTGCGTCGTGAAAACGTCTTAATATCAACTGTGTTTATTTTCTTTCTAACAATCAACCTTCGAGCCATTTCTCGATTCGCGTTTTGCGAATCGATTGAGTTGAGAATAATATTGCTGAAAAAGGAGTAGCAGAGATAATTACTTTGATAATAATTTTAAAATAATCTGATTTTCAGTCATGCTTTTCTTTCTTTCGCGTAATAGAGACACAAATCTTTTTTTATGAGATTGAAGTAATTAAATTATTTATAATATATATTTATTACTTATATAATTATATGAAGTACAAACCTCAAATAATTAAGAGTAATGAATTCGAACGAATTCGAAGCGCATTTATTTTTGTAGAAAAAATAAAAGAAATACCGAGATCTTAAAAAATAATCAAAGTAAAATTAAAGAATAAAAATAGATCTTAATGAAATGAGAGCAAGATAATATCGTATACTCGTCAATGTATTGGCGCACTTTTAAATAGGCAAAAAAATACGAAGCGACTCACTCATTGAACTGTTTGTTAAATAATATAAATTTTGTTTTTTTTTAGAACTTTATTATTGAAAAATATATAAAACTTTTACTTTCTGTGTGTGTATGTACAATTCTATCGACACACATTATACACATAAAATAATATTTTTGTTTCAGGATTTTCGCAATCAAAAGGATCATTCTCGAACGCAAGTCCAGGTAAGATTGTTATACTCATGTATATAAAACCATATATTTATTAATAACTTAATAATATTACGACAAATAATCTCGGAAAAACGCATAATTTATTTTTACAACATATAAATTATTCACCGAAAGGAACTCACAAAATACACAAGCTGACTGAGAGAAAATTCTGATTTTATCGAGAGGAAACACAAGTTCCTTGGAAAATCGTAACTCACTCACGATTTGACAAAATCGCGGTAAAAAGACGTGACGACATAACATTTTTATTCGCAATAACGAAACTCTTATGCGCTTTTACGAAAATTCACCAGTCTCTTCTTGAGGCGGCGAGTTGTACCGTCAAATCTCTCTAAATGCGTTCGTTATATTAAATTCAAAATATTTTTCGTATTTTTCTTTTTCTGAACGATGTAATACATTGATTGATTATACTTTGATTTATAAAAAAGCTGTTTATAAGACGAAACAATTAACATTAATTTGTGTCTTCATAAAATGACGCGAACAACAAGGTAAAGAGACAAAATAATGCAATCGCGACAATAAACGATACAAGCTATTATCGTCTCGCAAATTCTTCGACAATGAGTTCCACTGATGCCGTAATCATTATCGCCATATGATGACATCATGTGCACGAAAGACAGAAAAAAAAAAAAAAAAAAAAACTGCTTACGTATTCATGTGCGCGATGATTTCGATTTTTCCGAGCCATTAAGCGCGACCCGTTTGGCCTGCAAAGCGATGTCGCTCGAAACAAGAGACGACAAGTTGAAAATGATTACAGAGAAGAATGAGCTTCGCATCTAATGGGGATGAGTTTCTGCATTACTTGCCACGAATGCCTATTGTCACATCGCATATTCAATCAATTCATTATCGTTAGTGATTTTTTTTATCCGAGACGTTAGGGGAGGCGTCGTGTTTGTTATTTAAACGTATCTTCGAAGAAGAGACACGCACAAATACTACTTTAATAATTTTAGATCTTATTAATATCAAAAAAAAAAAAAAGATATTTCCGTACTTCCGTTGTCAGCGAAAGTAAATTGCCGTTATCGTTTAATTTGTTCGTATGGGAACTAGCGGTCTCTCTCGAGCGAAACAACGATATCTTCTATAAAGCGCACGGCACCCTCGAAGAGCCCGATTTAAAATCTGACAGTGGGCGTGGAATCGTACTCGAATTTCGAGTAAAGAAAGTCTCCCATTACCGATTAGCGTTTCTATAAGACGGGGTGTGTCCAGCATCACGAATTTCTCAAAATATTTTGACGTGAAACACAATATGTCTGCAACAGCCACGTGATGGTTAAAGATTAAATTAATCAATCGATTGTATTGTATGTATTTAATCCGTTACAAAATCAGCGCGCGTCACTCATAAAGAGAAAAAATTTCGGCGACGATGCCGCGAACATATTAGTTTTTTCGTGCGTGTTTCCTTCAAATCTTCAAATTTTTTCGGCAGCCTTTTCCGAGCAACGCCGCAGGTGTTGCTGAAGGTGGCAACGCCGGGTCTCTCTTTTTACACGCCAGGATCCTTCGCGGTATTTTCTTTTGCTGGTAAATTGGACTATTACGCTTGCAGGTTCGTACCTCAGAAGCGCCGTTCCCGCGTATTTTCTCGCTCATCCGCTATTTGGGAGATCCTTCACACTACATTTCCCTTCACTTCCCCCATCCCTGTCTCCTTCTTTCACCCACCCTTTCTTTATTTCTCTTTCTCTCTACCTCTCTTACGCAACTCTCTCTCTCTCGTATCTCAAAGTGCTGCACAGTTGTTAAAACAACCAATTCCAACGGAAAGCCCCTCGTTACCGGGTGTCTGCCGCTGCCGCGGGCAGCTTCCGTAATTCTGACGGAAGAGACCTCGCGCGGCCTGCAAAAGAAGACACTTCGCGCTCGTAAAGACGTGCGAAGATTGCCGCTTCTGGTAAATATTGATCCTCGAAAACCGCGAGCGGCCAATAACGCTGGTTGCAATTTTCTTTTTTTTTTGGTTTTTTTTTTTGCATTGTTATCAGAAGTAACATTGCGGGAAAAACCAATTATTGTACAAGGAAAAACAATTGCGGGAAAAACAATATTGATGTGTCTCTCTTTTTTTTTCTATTCCTCTTGTTTGATAAACTTACTATTTTTGTATTGTTATTAAAATAAAAAAATATTTTTTGAAATATATGCGTACGTGTGTACGTATGTGTGTCATCAGAGAGCTTGTCGAAAACCTGAATTATTACAAGGAGTCCTTACTTTCAAAGGAGGCAACGATTGTTCCGTCGAGAGGGGGGGCCGTGTGCTACGGAGCGTTTAGAGCAGCGCCAGAAGCATTGCCGTACTCCAATCCAATCATCTCGTTTCCTCCCGTATCGATTTCACCGTCCGCTAGAAATTTCCTCCGTGAAAAGAAACGCACAAGACAGCCGCGGAGGGGTGGACGAGCGACTAGGGCAGGGAATTACGGCGGTAACTCGCGCGCGAGGCGGACGACGAGAAAAGAGAAGAGAATAAAACCCCCCGGTTTCTATAAACGATTTTGAAATTGTGTGCGTCTCCCGGAGCACAGGCCAGGGATCTTGGGACGGGGACTGCGGGACAAAATGAAGGCGGAAGCGCGGGACAGTGGCGAAACCAGTAGGAAGGGACGGACGGCGAAAATCGAAGTTAGGAGACACGGCATAGAACACGGCGAGCATAGAGGGGTGGCAGTGAACCGACTCGTATATTTTTCTTCCGCGAAAAATTAAGTGCGTTCAGCCGTGAAGGAGCTCGTGCCTGATTACTAGTGCCGCTCAAGTGCAAGAGTCTTGCCAACATTTTCTCACTCGCGTCGCCAACCGTTTCCAAGAGCCAACCTAAGTTATGTGTTTCCAAGTCTAAAACCGTTTCGCACGACACAAGACTGATTCGATCGTCGTCCGTGCGGAAAATAAGCCTTCTTCCGTTTCTCAAAACGCTCGTAATTAGGACGATCCATCACAAACAGAATTTACTTCTTAAGTACCTTGTCGGAACTTGTTAGCATTTAAGAACGATGTGCACAAAACGCAACTTAAAAAGATCGTATACATATATTTTTAATATATTTTCACTTATAAATTCGAAATAAAATCAAGACGTCAAATGACAAAGATATAATGACAAATATATATCATCTGTCGACGGTACTTAAAAAATTGCCATCTAGTAAGTTTTCCTAGATACTTACTTGATAATCTCCCCCGCGCATTGAAACCAAATATGGCGATAAAAGTGCGCTTCGGTCAAGCAGCGTGCGAGTTAAACTCGGGAGAAAAGATGACTCTATAGAAGTGAAATCTTTCGAACCCAACTTTCCGCCAAGAGTGTCATTTCTTTTGTTTCTGTTCGCTTTCTTCTTGGTCACCTGTTTGTAACGTTGATTGTGTAACGACGATAACGAGTCGAGATACGAGCGTGCTTTCGCTCGCAGTCGTTTCTTTTCATCCCACGAACTTCACCGGGGGAAAGGATGTCACGGCGTGAGGGTGTCGTACTAGAGACGGAAATAAGCATAGAAAAGGACGAAGAGAGAGAACAGATAGAGAGAAAGAAGATGACGCAAAGCTGGAGGAGACAGAGAAGAGCGTATGCCGAGGGCATCTACGGTCGGAGGTGGTGATATTAATTAAGGATTAACACGCGTACTGAAACTACCCTTACTTAGTAACAGTCACCGCCGTCAGGAGTGTCTCCGTGTCTGCTTGTATATCGTATGCGGGTGTTGTTGAATGTCAATATTCTATCCGACTTGTAAGGCAAATATGAGAAAGGTGATGCTTGTGAAACCGCAGCAAAATGTTGAAGTGATTTTTCAACGTATCGTCGATTATTCTGACTACTGCTAATTTTTCACTGGCAAAACGAAAGAGAGAAAGAAAGAAAGAGAAAGAAAGAGAGAGAGAGAGAGAGAGAGAGAGAGAGAGAAAGAGAGAGAGAGAGTTTTATCGAGCTTTGTTCTTTCTTCTGTCACACTTATTTTCGACAATTATAACACATTGATTATCATTTTTTATTTTCTTTACATTATCACACAGGATGTGGTTGTAACTAATTATCATTATTATATTTATATCTAATTATAAAAAATAAAAATTTAAAGTTACACGTATATCGATGAGAGATGTTTTCTCGTTAGTCGCTAACATATTTATATTTTCATGACATCAGCAATAAAAAATGATCACCAATGACAGACTCAAGAATCAAACATGTACATATATAGGTACAGTGATTTGTGTGACTCACGTTAATATTCAAATACTATACGTGCCACCTACATAACACTTAAATAACACGAAACGAAACCGCGACTTGCTCATTTTGGCTCGATTGAATTAGATGACATGTTGCATTCTCATTTTTTTAGAATAAAATAAAAACAGTTTAAAAATAATAACAGACAAATGCACGTAATGCGTTTTTCCGACAAATCATTATTTTTTTTTTTTTTTTTGAGGTTGAAAGTAAGATATAAGATTAAGAGTAAGATATAAAAGATAATTAAAAAAAATATAAAAAAGTCTTCAAGTACACATGTTTATAATTAGTTTTCACATTCAGGTATTTACAGCGAATAAAATTTTTTCTTCCGTTCTTTCTCTCGAATGTAATAAAAGCCGATGCGAAAAATAAGGGAGTCCAAGATTTTTAGAAAAACCTCAAGGTCTTGCAATGTGAATTCATTGGCTGTTTCGAGTAGGATCTGTGTACGAGTTGCGTGGAGCGTCACGTGAAATTATGACGTCACCGACCGGAGGCCATTTTGGCTCAGCTGGTCGAGACAAAAGGCAGCTCGAATAGCAGGACGCCATGTCCTGCTTCGTGCTTGTCGCACAATAGACACACCAACGATTCGTGTGCATGTAAAGCGCTACGCACACGCCAAAAACGATTTACTCGTGTTTACTAGCACGTCTGTGATATATATATATACATAGAAATTATGAGTCTTTTTTAATAGAAGTTACGAGCTTTTTTTTTTT